GGCAGCCCTGTGGGCCCCCCGCAGCTCCCCATCATGGGCTCCCTGCGACAGCGCAAGCGGGGTAGGAGCCCCCGACCCAGTTCGAGCTCAGACAGCGACAGTGATAAGTCCACCGAAGACCCCCCAATGGGTGAGCCTCACCGTCACCCAGCCCGCCAGGACAGCGAGCAAAGCTGCATTCTCCTCAGTGCAACTCCCAGCTAATCTTATTCCTTGCCTATAAAATGTCAGAACTAGAAAGAAAAACTAATCAGACCGAGGAGAAAAATTGTCTAGAACTAGAAGGAGAAACTGAAGTTTCTCATTTTACAGATGGAGAAACTGAAGTCTATTCTGACTCACCCAGATTCTTATCCAGGGTCCCCACTTTGTACTACTTTTTCTCTTCTTTCTCTCCTTGCGGCTTTCTGCTTTCCAGCCATTTGTGTCCCAAAGCCATTCATTAGCCTTTGGAGCAGTACAAGAGGTGGGGGGCTGTAGCCAACTCTAGTCTGCAGTGCCTAGAGCTTGCTGTACTGGCACAGGGTGGAGGACCCTTCAGCACAGGAAAGCCTGAGTTCTGAGTCCTTATTATGCCCACATTACCACTGACCTTCATCCTCCTGACTTTCTCTTCCTCTGCTGCCTCCTATCCAAGACTTACCAGCCAATGGCTTCAGCAGTGGAAACCAGCCAGTAAAGAAGAGTTTCTTAGTGTACCGTAATGATTGCAGCCTGCCGCGGAGCAGCTCGGACTCGGAGTCCAGTAGCAGCAGCAGCAGCAGTGCCGCCTCAGACCGGACCAGGTACCAGCTTGAGATCCAAGCCTGACCCTCAGGGCCTCTTCCAGGACCAGCAGTGTCTCCCCAGGGTCCCTGCTTGATGGGGGTGACAGCCATCACTTAAAGTACTAAGTCACATGATTTAAAAGCAAATTAAATGGGTCAGCCAAGTTATTGCCATAATGTATCTTCGGGGACCATCCTACGTTTAGCTGATGGATAGAGCAAAGGCTTTCCAGCTGGCAGCCTGTGGCTTGGATTTGACTTATAGGCATATTTTGTTTGGCCAGCATGATGTTTTCAAACATGAATCAGGAAATGCCATGAAAAAGTCCCAGTTCCTGTAGTCTCTTCAAAAAAGTTAGGAAACCTTAAAAAAGAAAACCTGACAAATCTGAGCTGTGACCAAGTGGCATCTGATTGGATTCGAGTAGTGGCTCCTGCCTTTTAGATGGGGTACATGTTCATTCGCAGGATGATCTGTTAAAACCTGTTTAACTGTTAAAACCAGGCTGCCACTTTAGTCACATCATCATGTGTGGCCCTTGAGAGCGTTTGCCTTTGAAACCTCTTTGCAGTGAAGGCTTTCCAAGTGCCTGGGACTTGGGGAATTCAAGAGAAGACACTGCTATGTCAGTCCTCACCCCTTCCTTTCCTCCCCTGAGCTGAACTTCTGCTGTCTTTCCCACAGCACAACACCCTCAAAACAAGGCAGGGGCAAGCCCTCTTTCTCTCGGGGCACCTTCCCAGAGGACAGCAGTGAGGACACTTCAGGCACTGAGAACGAGGCCTACTCCGTGGGCACTGGCCGCGGCGTGGGCCACAGCAGTAAGTACCCACAGCCACGGCCAGGGCTGCCCAGGGCCCAGTGTCAGGGCCTTGCCAGTCCTCCAGCTGCTGATCCAGCCTCTCTCTCCCGTTCCTGTGAAGTGGTGAGGAAGAGTCTGGGCCGTGGCACTGGTTGGCTGTCAGAGGACGAGGACTCTCCACTAGATGCTCTGGACCTTGTGTGGGCGAAATGCCGAGGATATCCTTCATACCCAGCTCTGGTACGGCCTCCCCTTCTCCTGTCATGCCCTTTACTATTCAGTCCCAGAACACAGGACTCAGTAAGCAGATTCTTTCTAACCCCTGACCTGTAGAGCACAGGAGTACTTAGCAGATAGACTTATGGATAAATGCAGCTTGAGTACCCTCAGAGGCCCAGGCAGTCCAGTAGCTCCCTTTGTTTTCTCCTTGCTCCATGAGTTGTAGAACAATCAGGCATAGGAAGGCACCAAAGAACAACACTGTAGCTTTAGCAATATGATAACCTTTCTGTCTTCCCACTTCAGAGGTAGCTTCCAAATTCCTGGCAGGGCAGGTCTTGCAGAGGAAGTCCTGAACCAAACCAGATTGTTCTTATACCTTCAGATCATTGATCCAAAGATGCCCCGAGAGGGTATGTTCCACCACGGTGTTCCCATCCCTGTGCCTCCACTAGAGGTGCTGAAACTTGGGGAGCAGATGACCCAGGAAGCCCGAGAGCATCTCTATCTCGTCCTCTTCTTTGACAACAAGCGGACCTGGTAAGGCAGTAGGGATATTTAGTTTAACTCAGCCATAGACACAGCCCTGAATGGATGCTGGAGACTCCAGCAGAGGCAGGGTGGGCCTCACGAGTGGGCAGAGGACTTAGAATAGGTCTTTGAGCCAAGGGTTTGTGTTGGCTAGGAGTCTGATAGGCTGTGTGGTAGCAGCTAATAGTGCTTGTAGCTCGAAACCAGAGGACCACTGATGATAAATCTAGGAGTTGCTCCTCATCCAGTTTCTCCATCTCTTGCCTCCATGATGACAAGATGGGGATTAAGCAGGCATAAGCATTCAGGTCATAAATTTCTTCTTTGTCATACTATTTAGTCTTTTGGCTAGGAAGCTCTGGTGCCTTCGTAGGTAGGGAGTGGGGCTGCCAACTCAAAGGCAGGTGTTTCAAATCCACCATCTGCTGCAAGGGAGAAGGATGAACAGTCTCCTCCCATGCAATTTATATCCTCTGAAAACCCACTGAAGGGTCAGTTGAGTCAGTTCCAACTCCACAGCAATGAGTCTTTGCTGATTGCCTGGTGTCATTAAAATGTGCCTGAAACAAGTGGTATTGTCCCTATTTCAAGTTAGATCAGGACTTCCCCTTTTTTGTTCCCCAAGATACCCTGCAGTTACTACCCTTCAGTATGACTGTTTTGACTGGGCTCTCTTCATCACTGGACTGTGAGCAGTTTCCTAAAAGAAGGGACTGTTTCTCTTGGTCCATCTAATCCTAGTGGCCCCTGAGAACCTGGCCCAGTGTTGGTGCCCAGGAGGTATGTTTAAATGAATGAAGAATGTGGACGTCTCATGCTAGTTCTCCCTGAGCTGATTTATTTGATCATGAACCTTACCCAACAGGCAGTGGCTGCCCAGGACCAAGCTGGTTCCTCTGGGGGTGAACCAAGATCTGGATAAAGAGAAGATGCTAGAAGGTCGCAAGTCCAACATCCGGAAGTCAGTGCAAATCGCCTACCACAGGGCTCTGCAGCACCGCAGCAAGGTGCAGGGCGAGCAGAGCAGCGAGACGAGTGACAGTGACTGATGCTGCCCAGTGCCCTGTGACTTCTCTCCCTGCTCACTGTCCTGGAGTGGCACCAGCCTCTGCACTGACTCATTTCTGGTCTCGGGGCCAGTCTCAGGGGAAGCTGGGCGGGGGGAGGTCCTTCCCGCTCTGAGTGCAGCTGGACTGTACAGAACACTCCAAGGGCCAGTGGTGGCTCTGGGCAAGTAGAGGGGTGAAAGGCCAGAAAGAGCCCGGGAGACCTCATGGCTATTTAGGGCCTGGTGGTGGGCTTCAGTTAGAACACTGCATAAATAGGCCATCCCACCTCTTCTCTGTACTTGTGCCAGGAGATCTGCAACTGCCTAGAGGCCTAAGGCCCTCCATGTGGTTGGGTGAGTGGGCATCTGCCCAGCCTAGCAGTGTCTGGCCTCAAGAGGGGCACTAGGTGACCCCCTCTCCTCTGTTCCTGTAAATACTGTAATTAGTGGAGAATTTAAATTATTCTCGTTTATAACTGCGTTTCCAGGTCGCGCCAGAGTCATTTGGTACTAAAAAAAGCCTGGGGCCTTGTCCCCATGTCCCTTCCTCCCATAGACCCTGCTTCCCATACCTTTCAAACTGGTTTGTATTTATTTCGAAGGAAGAAAATATATTGATTCTTAGAAAAATAAATGGTCCTTTTGATTTCTTGATTCTTCTGCCAGAGAAAAGAGGTGAAAAGGGAGGTTGTATACCTCAGGGATGGTAAATAATTGGGCCCAAGTGGTTGCTAGCTGCTGTGCATGTATAAGACAGCAGCATAGACACTAGAGCTTCCATTTCCCTCCATTTTTACTGAGTGGTACACCCTGTGCACCTTAGATAAATGACTTGGATCCCTTACCGTGTCAGTATGGGTAGGTTAGTGCCGTGACGACACTGAAGTTTGGGGGAAATGAACTTGCTTTAAATTTCCCCACCTGGGAAACTTAAGGGCTAGAATTTGAACTCAGGTGTTTGTCCAACTCCAGAGGACGCCCCTACACAGGCCTCTGAAAAGCTTAATAAGGCCAGATTAGCAGGCAAACGCTGAAGACCAGTTCACCGCAAGCATAGGGGGCTGGTCGAGTGTGCACAGCGCCCAGCGGGCAACAGATTTGTCAAAGACTCAGTGGAGGCGGACTGAGAGGTTGGGGAACACACGTACGCAGGAGCTGATTCCAAAGACCGCTAGTTCTTGAGGCGTCAAAGACTCAGCAAGCTGCGGATCCGTGGTTTGGTTTGGTAGGACACCTGCCGCAACAAGCCACGGGCGCCAAGGCCAACAGTGGGAGCCAGCGACAATCCCTTAGCGCCTCCGGAAAACCCGCCCCTACCCGCGCGCCTGCTGGCCTGTGCGCAGCTCTTCGGCGTTGGATGGCGCCGAGCGGGTGGGCGGGGTTTGAATACTACTTCCTGTGATTTCCGGGTCCGCCCGATGCATAACCCGGAGGATTCGCTTGCGTCCCTAAGATGTGGCTGTCTGGTGGTCCTCTCAGACGGTCGGCTGCGGGAGGCGAGGAGGTAGATGGGGTTGCGGACCACTACTACCAGAACTGTTGGAGTCTGGTCAGGGGGTAAAGCCGGGAAGGGCAGGTGTTCAGTACCGCGGACTCCAGGTCTGGGTTGGCGGCTCCCTCAAGCCCAGCAGCATGGGTCATCGGACTCTAACTTCCAGCCCTGCCCTCTGGGCCTCCATTCCCTGTCCACGCTCTGAGCTTCGCCTGGACCTGGTTCTGGCCTCCGGGCAGTCTTTCCGGTGAGTGACTTTCCGGGCACGCCCCTCTCCAGGGTCCTAGAGCCTGGCTTTTCGCGGAGCACCAAAGAGAAAACAGGTCCAAGTGACCATCCTGTTGCCTCCTTTAGGGAGTAGATCTCAGAAGCCTTATGAGTGTTGGGCAGCCCAAAAGAGAGAACTGAGGTCCGTGTACACTTCGTGGGTTTTGTGCAGTGAGCTTTGCACTTAGTTGGTTTTTTAAGTGGAGTGTTTGTGTGCTGGGTGGGGTGGAAAGGGCGCAGGAAGCGGGACTGAGTGCAGACATGCTGCGGTGGGCACAGGTGGCGGGAGCGCAATGAGGGACACTGGAGCGGTGTGCTGGCCGGCCGGGTGTGGACGCTAACGCAGACGGACGAGCGGCTCCATGGCACCGTGTACCGACCCGGGACGGGCCAGCCCAGCGCGCCCACGCCCGAGGAGCTGCAGGCTGTGCGCCGCTACTTCCAGCTGGACGTCAACCTGGCGCAGCTCTACCACCACTGGGCTTCCGTGGACCCCCACTTCCAAGAGGTGGCCCGGAAATTCGAGGGTGAGTAAAGCATCGGGGGCAAAAGCTGCAGTCCTTACGTTTTGTTCATATTTCTTAACTCTTACGGACTCGGTTTCCCTTTCTGTAAGATGGAGATGGGGTGGGCAGTGGTGGTTCAATCTCTATTGAACTCCCACCTCCCGCGTGGATGGCTCTTGTTCAGATATGTCCCGTGTGCTTCATGAATAGCCCTCACTTGTCTCGCATTGGAGGCCTGCGCCTGCATTTTGCTGTGAAGCTGGGCAGGTTTCAGCAGATCTTCCAGACTCAGAAGAAAGGCCTGGCAGATTAACTGGCTGGTGAAAACCATGTAGATCGCAGTGGTCAGAGCCGCAACCAGTCATGAGACTAGAACCCATCCAGGCAACATTTTCCTTCATTGTATAGGCTTGTCTTGATTTGGGGGCTGACAGCAAAATGCTAGCAACAAAATGGAAAGTAAACTCCTACAAGTTAGAATTTTTTATGAGGTTGTAATATAAACAGGTCTGTCTTGGAGAGGGTGAAACTAAGTTTGTCCTTGGAGGCAAGGATTTTGAAGCTCTGCCATATACTTGGGGCACATGGCCAGGAGAGACAGAGCAGTCTTTAGAGAAGGACATCATGCTTGGAACGGTGGAGGGACAGCGCAGGAGAGGAAGACCCAGGATGATATGGATTGACAGTAGATGGGATTATGGGGGTAGGTGTGTCAAGATTCAGTAAGACTGGCTCAGTACAGGGATGGCTTCAGAGATATTGTACATAGAGGTTCTGAGTCGCAGGCAACTGGAGGGCAGAAAACAACAACAAAGCTTTTGAAGGTTATAAAGTGCTTAATAGAGTCTTTAACACAGCTGACCCTCCCTCCACCTCCCAGGATTTCTGAGGCTATAAGTTGCACAGGAGGAGCTTTTGAGAGAGGTACAGCCTCACAGTTAGCAATTCTAAAAGATCATGCCACCAAAGCTTCTTGAATAGTGTCGGATTTACTAACTTTATTAATATTATAGCTGCTATGATTAATGTTATGTCTGTAGTGGAAAGACAAGGCTCTTAAGTCCAAATTTGGCCAAGTGAAGCAGGCACCCCCATTCGTTCTGTAGATACTTATCGAGTGTTTACTTTGTGACTAGGAACATAAGAATGATGAAAACAGACCTAAATCTCTGCCCTCATGGTGTGTCTCCGGGCTGCTTCATCTGTGAGCTAGAATGAAGAATGAGAGGCCTGGTGGTGCTCTTGCTAACAGTTCTGTCCCTTATTTCCTGGGATGCTCCTGGAGCCTTGATGCCTCAGATCTGTGGGTGGGAAGAGGCACCCTGAGTTGCAGGTTTTCTCCCACTGCCTACTTTTCTGGTTTACAGGTGTGCGGCTTCTACGGCAGGATCCAGTTGAATGCCTTTTCTCATTCATCTGCTCTTCCAACAACAACGTTTCTCGCATCACTGGCATGGTGGAGCGGCTCTGCCAGGCCTTTGGCCCTCGGCTCGTCCAGCTTGATGATATCACCTACCATGGCTTCCCCAGCCTACAGGCCCTTGCTGGTGAGTCAGTGGGTCCCCCACACCCAGACCCCTGTCAGCTTTTCCTGGTTTCCTGGTTCTCAAAACACTGCCCCCTCCCAGAGTTACCCTGCCTTGTCTGGTTAGCCCCTGTTCTTTTTCATTTTCCCCATTTACCCCTAACATGCATGTGATTTTTTTTGCCTAGTGGGTTCAGTGCTTTAGGAAAAAAACATTACATATACAGTATTATATTAATAGTATGAGCTCTGGGGACAAACTGGGTTGAATCCTAAATCTGCCATTTACCCTCTAGCAATGTGATCTTGGGCACGTTAATTAGCCTTTCTTTCTATTTCTCACTTTCTATTTCTATGAAATTGGATAATAATAGCTATTACCAATCAGAATTGTTATGAGGGCCAAATCAAAGGTGTAGAGAAATTGTGTGGGGAGTTCTGGGGGCCTAGTGGCAAGAAGTGGAGCTGCAATCCCGAAGGCATGTGTTTCAAGGCTACCAGCTGCTCCGAGGGAGAAGGATGGGCAGTCTCCTCCTGTGCGATTAACTGCCTCTGAAAACCTGCTGGAGGGTCAGCTATGGGTCAGTCATGACTCTACAGTACACAACAGCAGCAACAATAGAGACAGTATGTAGAAAATTCACACTGCCATCTTTGCCGTGAACACAGCAAGTCTGCGTCCCAGAACATACTTGTTCTTTACAGCATCCTGATGAGGCAGGTATGTCAGTGGACAGCTGTGAGAACCAAGCAAAAGGAAATACTTGGAGACAGCATAGCAAAGAGAAGACCTGTCTCCAGAAAAGAGCATGCTTTTTGGGCCTAGAAACCTAGACTTGAGTCTCTGCTCCTACTTTAATAGTGTAAAACCTCAAGAAATTGTCTGACTTCCCCACTCCTCACTTATCTATAGAATGAAGATAAGAATTTCTCTCTAGGAGAGTTTTGGGGAAGAATTAAGCAACCATGAGGCAATGTCATGCAGTGAGCTAAAGCACAGGCATTGGTGGCTCAGACTGGTGAACGGGCTCCCATCTCCACCGTGTTATTGTTAGAGCAAGTTCCTTAACCTCTTCTGAGCCCTCATTTTCTCTGTGAAATGGAAAATACAGCAGTCCTTTCCGTAGAATGTTTGAGAAAACAAAGCAGTTGTATACCTAAAGCACTTTGTCCATGCAGAGTACCCAGTGCTTGCTAATAGAAGCTTTTACTGTTTCATAATTAGTACTTTAGGTCATGAGTGTAAAAGTTCTTTTTTATTACTATCTTTTTTTTAATTATTATTTTTACGTGTACCGTCAAATCAGATCTGACTGGTACAGGAGGAGATTGCTCCCTCCTTCTCCAGCAGAGCATCTGGTGGATTTGAACCGTGTACCTCTGGGATTGCAGTGGAAAGTTCTTTATAAAGCCCCATGGGGAACCAGCCAAGCCCTCTTTAGTCCCTGCTTCACTGTCCAGCACACACACAGTGGGTACTCAGGTAACATCTTTAAAATGGCAGGCCCCAGACCTCAGCCTTTCCCTTTGCACATACAAGTGTCCACTGTATCCCACGGGACCTAGAAAATAGCATACCCATCAGGTGGCACAGGCTTGTGCACCAGCCAGAGGACCAGGGACACTGTGAAGACACCTGACCTTGCTCCCCTTCCCATTCTCCACAGGGCCCGAGGTGGAGGCTGACCTCCGGAAACTGGGGTTGGGATACCGTGCCAGCTACGTGAGCGCAAGTGCCCGAGCCATTCTAGAAGAACATGGTGGGCTGTCCTGGCTGCAGCAGCTTCGTGAGGCCCCCTATGAGGATGCCCATCAGGCCCTCTGTACCTTGCCTGGAGTGGGTCCCAAGGTGATGATGCCCCCCGGGTGAGATACCTTCTTCATCCACATTGAAAGTAGAAGAGAAAGGCCTGGGAGCTGTGTCCAGGCTTTGATTTTGAAGGCAGAGTAGGAAGGAAAAGGAATGCAAGATGATGTTTTATTAGAGAGAAGAAAGCAGAGTGCGGGAATATAAAGGATATTCCACTTTGAATTTTAGAAAGGCTATTTGCCCAGATGCATGCATATGTTACTATACATATGCAGAAAATTTCATAGAGAAAACTCAATAGTGGTTATCTCTGAAGAAACAAATGGTAGATGCTTCTCTCTTAATTTTATTCTTTTTCTTGAATTTACATGTACCTAATACTTTAAAAAGTTATTTAATGTCAACAGTTAATCTAGCAGTAAAATTATTGAGAATTTAGCTTCCCTTTTCTCTCTCTTTATAATTGAAAAATTAATGTTTAGAGAAAAAAATCTTAGCAGACTCTGGCTTTGACCCACGTCACTGCAACTTTCAGGGCCTTGTTTTCTTTAACATGAACTGGTACCATCTTCATCCTCGTTTGTCATGAGAACTTAGCTCACAGAGAGGCTCACTTAGTAACAGCTTTTTTTTTGCTTAAATTACTGTTAGGACGTTGGCTTGATCCTGCCATTGTACTCTGGTGGCTCATCCTCTGTCTTATCTGCCCCAGGTCGCTGACTGTGTCTGCCTGATGGCCCTCGACAAAGCCCAGGCTGTGCCTGTGGACGTCCACATGTGGCAGGTGGCCCAGCGTGACTACAACTGGTACCCTACCACAAGCCAGGCAAAGGGTCCAAGCCCTCCAGCCAACAAGGAACTGGGTGAGGAAAGAGTAGGGTGTCAGTGTGGGAGTGGGGTTGAGATGGGACAAACCTGTCACCCTCTTCATCACCCCTCCCTAAATCTCACTGCCTGTTTGTGGGAAGCAGGGAGAGAGGGACCAGATAATTTAGATTTATCATTTCTGGTTTAGGAAACTTCTTCCGGAGCCTGTGGGGAATTTATGCTGGCTGGGCCCAAGCGGTGAGTGTGTCCAAGTTCCCCACCTACTGGTTAGTAGGTCCCTAAGGACCCCACAGGATTTCCCCTCCAGCCCTGGCTAGTGTAAGTGTCCCTCATGGATGCCCAGCTCCTAGCCCTGTCCCCTGGACTCTTGACCCTTCTCATACCGCCCCTAGCCCTCACCCAGAGTACACCTTGCCCCCACAGGTGGTGTTCTGTGCTGACCTGCGCCAGCCCCACCGTGCTCAGAAGCCACCAGCAAAGCGCAGAATGGGGTCCAGAGGGGCAGAAGGCTAGTGCGGGCACTGGATAGAAGAATCCCAGACAACTTCTCCTGTCCCCCCCTCCGAGACACATGTGTTGGAGGAGGCTCCTTGTACTACCTCAAGGGCCAGCCGACCCCAAATCAAGCAGTCATTTTGCACAGAACAGTTGGACTGGGGCTTTCTGGGGAGACCGAGCCACCTGTGGTTTTATCCTCTTCCTTTATTACAAGAAGGAACAATAAAATAGAAACTTTTGTATGGAAAATGCAATGGAGAAGCAGGAGAGGGAGTGGGGAGGGCTAGGGAAGGGGATTAGAATGCCCCCAACCCTGCCCAGGCAGGGGGTCCTGACCCTAGCTCCAGGGCCTAGAGCTGGTGGGGCAGCGTAGGGGGAAGCTCTGGACCCGACTCCACACAGCAGTCTCGACAGCAGCAGCCTGCTGCTGGCCCTAGTGCAAGAAGGACAGGGTGGGTACAGGGACAGGCACCCCTGACCCATGGACACCCTTCTCCACGGCCCCTCTCCCCTTATCTCCTCAGGACCTCCCTGCAGCCCCCCTCCTTCACCCTTCACCATGCTCCCTGGAATCACGTCTCCACCAGCCCTCCTTTCTCCACGCCCTTTCTCCCTCTGCCCACAGAGCCCCGCTCCTCACCTGCAGCTGGGACCAGCAGCTCCCCGTGGCTGGCTGGCTGGCCCTGCCCCTCCTGGCTGGTTCCGAGCTGCAGCCTCCTCATGTGTCTCACTACAGCTGTGGCATTGAAGGCTTGCTGTGGGGAGAGGGTTTACGTGGCAGGGCTGCAGTGGGATTCTAATAGGAGTTGGTTATTTCCATCCAGGTGTTATTGACTACTTCCCTAATACCCACAAACCTCTACAAGGTTTTATTATAGTCCACCATCTATATGCACGTACACAAACAAAACAATATGTAAACAGACGATAGAATTATATGTTGGTTTTGAGTACCATAGAGTCGGAATCAATCCATAGGCTGACCCTCTGGCGAGATTTTAGAGGTAGTTAATCGCGCGGGAGATTGCCAACCCTTCTCCTGTGGAGCAGCTGGTGGCCTCAAACAATTAGTTTAAATTAGCATGTAATGGCAAACATACATAGCATTAATAGGGAGCTCTGGTGGCCTAGTGGCAAGAAGCTGTGCTGCAATCCGGAAGGCATGAGATTCGAATCCACCTGCTGCTCCGTGGGAGAAGGATGGGCAGTCTCCTCCCATACGATTAACTGCCTCTGCAAACCCGCCAGAGGGTCAGCTATGGGTCGGTTCTGACTTGACAGTATACTACTGCTGTCTAGCATTATGTGCCAGGCACAACTTAAGCCCTACTTTACATAGTATTTCATCTTCACAAAATGCTTTTGAGATTCCCTCGCCATTTTCAGAGGAGGGAACTCAGGCACAGAGGTTAAGTGACTTGCCCAGGTGTGTTTATCTTTCTCTATTCAGTATGTCAAACTAGATGGCTCCCAGGCCCCTAATTCACCATGTCCAAGACCTTCTTGTACCCCTAGAATCTCCTTGATGGTGCCTCCATCTGCTCTGTCCCCACCCAACGCATGGACCCACCTTGACATCTTTCTCCCTGACACCCTTTTCTGTCCTCTCATCTTGTCATTTAAACCTCCTAACTGAGCCACTGTCCTCTGCCCCTGCTCTGGTCCCTGCCTTCACGACTTCTGCCTGCATCTCTATTGAGTCAGTTCTCACTCAGCAGAAACCTCCCTCGGTTTCTGAGGTTGAAAACTGCAGTGCAAGACTTCCGTCTTTCTCCCTTTGCGCCACCGTTAGGTCTGAACTACTGCAGATATAAAGACTTTGGGTTAGCAGGGCACCTCATTGCAGCCTGAGACGAGAGCTCCCTGCATCTCTGCTGTTCTGTGCCGTCACATTGACTACCGCATGCACCATCTCTGATAAGGCTCGAGCCCGTTAGAGTCACTGTGTCCGTCCATCTTGTTGAGAGTCTTTCTCTGACCCTCTACCTTGCTCAGTATGATGTCTTTCTCCAAAGCCTGGGCCCTCCTGACAACATGCCAGAAGTTGTTCTTCCTCTAAAACACTTGTTTGTTCTTTTGACAGTCCATAGGATATACAGTGGCACCATTTCTTGTCATCCTTAGTCATTGTCCAATTTTAGACACATAGGAAGCAACTGAAAAGCCCATGGTTTGGATCAGGCCCACCTCCGTCTATAACCTGATACGGCTCTTCAGCACTTTGGAGGGGTCTTTGACAGCAGATTTTTTCCCCTCAGGACATGTCTTAATTTCTGACTGCTACCATGGGAGTTGACTGTCGATTCAAGTAAAATTAAATAGCTGACAACTTCAGTTGTTTCCCCATCTACTATGATGATGCCTATTAGTCCAGTGAACTGCCTCCTAATTGGTCTCCCAAATTCTACAACTCCATGCCGTACCTCTCTACATCCTGACAGTCTCCTTCAAATCCTGGGCTTCTCAGCTTCCTCAAGGCAGTGCTCCACTGCGACATTGCAGGCCCTGAGTGGCTAGGCCTGTCCTAGCCTCGGTGGTCTGGGCTCCTGTCCGCACTCACTTGAGCTCTCTCATTCATCACGCCCAGCTCTTGTACTGCCTTCTTATTTATACCTGTTCTTTGTGCCTCCTGTATGCTACTCGCCTGGCTGATTCCTACTCAGCAGTGATGCCCAATCTTGCTTGTTAACTGCTTGTATGACTTGGTAGAATGCTTGGGTTGGATTAGATGCCTCCTTACGAACTGTAGGCTGTTACCTGTTTGGATTTGGAGAACAAGGATTGTCTGGAATAGAGTAGGCTTAAGTGTTTAGTGGAGGGAAGAATGAGTGAGGGCCTTTGATAAGCATCACTGAGCAAGTCCTGTGTGCCCAGATCAGTACTGAGTGTTGTGTGATCTGAGGGCTGGAGACAGGGACAGAGGGGAGGCTACACAGCTCATGATCTCACCTTCCATTTGCTCTTGGCAAAGTTCTTCTTGATCTGCTCGCTCACTGACTGGTGGATATTCTTATCCAGAGCTGTGTCCCCTGCAATCCTAGGGTGAGTGTGTAGAGAGGGGCATGTGAGAGGCAGAGGGTGGTTTGGAGCCCCAGGTCCCACCCTAGCCCCAGGCTCTTGGGAGCCCTCACCATGGGTGCTGCAAGGCCTGCTCACAGGTGAACCTCTTCTCTGGATCCTTCTCCATCAGGTGCCGGATAAAATCTTTGGCTGAACCCCAGGACAAAGCAAAGACAAGGTGGGGTGCCTGTGGACATCCCCAAGATAGAACCCAACCCCTCAGTTCTGGTTTAGCCTCAGCAAGACAATAGGCTAGATCTGTCCATCCACCTCATCTGTGCTATTTCTCCAGCCCTGACTCCAGCCCCTGGTCTTTAAGGAAAAAAACAGTCACTGAAGTGCAAATGCTTCGTAATAGGAGCAGAGATGAAAAAGGTGGTGGTAGTACAGGGAGGTGTTATCAGAAGTGCTGTTTAAAGGATGAATGAAGGTGTGCCTACAAGCTGTCTTGGGCTGGACCAGGCAGAAGGTAGCCCTTGATGGGTACCTGGGCCTGAAGCCAGCTCTTGGGACGGGGGCTAGGAATGGAACAGAAAACCCCTGGAACAGATGAAGGTGTGAGAGGCTGGGTCCAGTGCGGAGGGTAGAAAGCCCACATACCAGAGTCAGAGATGTCATCCCAGTAAGGAGAGTCGAACTCATACTCGGCCTTCAAAATCTGCTCAAAGAGCTTGGCATCATTCTCGTCATAGAAGGGGGGGTAACCACAGAGCCTGGCAGAGAAAGGGAGTCTGTTTTCCTACCCCAGGCACCTGCAGTCTTAGGGGGCCGGCAGGGCCTTTTACAGAGGGGAGACAAGCCCTTGTTGCTTGCTCATGTCTGTCCAGCTGCACTGATGTCCCTCCTGGAGGCCTATGCTAAACCATTCATCACCCTGATGTCCAACAGCAGTTTCTTCTTCTGTCAGGACACTGCGCAAACCTTGCCTCGGAGAGGCCTCCCGCTGCCTCATCTGCAGTGGCGGCCTTCTGTTTCCTATCTCTGCCTAATTTCTCTTCACAGCTTTTTACTACCCAACATAATTTGTTGATTGCCCCTCTCTGACTAGAATATCTGCTCCTCCTCGGGCCCTACGTTCATTTTGTCCCCAGCTAAACCTCCAGTACTTGGCACAGTGTCGGAACATTAAAAAACCCAAACCTGTTGCCCGTGGGTTGGTTCAGACTGGATGGCAACCCCATGTGGGCAGAGGGACTGGTTCCGCAGAGCAACTGGTTTTCAGGAGGGTATCACCTGGCCTTTCTTCCTAGAGGCCTCTGGTGGGCTCAAACCTCTAGCCTTTCTGGCTTAGCCCTTTGTGTGACCTGACTCAGTGATGCTCCACTGTTTGTATTGCTGTACATTTTTACAAGAGGAGACCGCTCATCTTTATCAGAGTGACTGGTGGGATCAAACCACCACCCTTGAGGTTAGCAGTCCTGTATGTAATTGCACTGCATCACCAGAAACTCCTAGGTGAAGTTCTGTTGGGTCCTGGGGAACCAGCTCCGACTCCTAGCAACCCCGTGGATGACAACAAAACCCTGCTGGACTGTGCTGTCCCGTCTGCTGTGCGCAGGCCCACTGTGGCAGTCATTATGCCAGTCCATCTCTTTCCAGGTCTTGCGCTCTTCCACTGACCTACTTTTCCCAGCATGGTGTCCTTTCCCCAAAACTAGCCCCTCCTGGGGAGCTCTGGTGGCCTAGTGGCAAGAAGCTGTACATCAATCCCAAAGGTACACGGTTCGAATCCAGCAGATCATTTTCCTCCTGTACCAGTCAGATCTGATTTGATGGAACATGCACAAAAAATCATAAAACCACAAAAAACTAACCCCTCCTGAAGCATGTTGTTATGTACCATCAGTTGGAACTGACCCACAGCTGATCCTTTTTCAGAGGCATCAAATCACATAGGAGGAGAAAGCCATTCCTTCGGTGGAGCAGCTAGTGGATTCAAACCTTGTGCCTTTGGCTTGGCAGTGTAACTGGTCCTTAACACTAGGCCACCAGAGCTTCCTATTCTGAAGTCTATTAGGTGCTAAATAAATAGCTATTGAATGGATGAAAGAGGAGAAGACCATGCTGAGCCAGCTTCCCCATGGCCAGGTCCCCACTCACAGGATGTAGGCGATGACGCCGATGGACCAGCAGTCCACAGCCTTGCTGTAGGGCTTCTGGGCCAGGACCTCAGGGGCTGTAGAGGCAAGGGGACATGTTGACAACACATCTCTGCCCTGCAGTGTCTAGTTTGGCCCCTGCCCGGCCCCAGCCCAGGGCCCTTCGCACCCACGTATCCTGGTGTCCCACAAGCAGTAGACAGCACACTGCCTGGGTCTTCCATCTTGGAGAGGCCAAAGTCCGAGATCATGATCTTGGAGTCCTCATCCAGGCTGTAGTAGAGCAGATTCTCCGGCTAAAGGATGGGAGGGAGGAGGAGGAGCAGTGAGACGGCCAGAAGCCAACCACAGTGCCCCACTTGGCTGCCATCCTGGCCAGAGGCATGCAGACCTCAAGGACAGACTCAAGAAGGTCTCAAAGTTCAGAAAGAACCACGGTCTGGGCAGGAGTTCCATAAATGTTCTGTTTGTGTGGTGTGAAGCCCATCTCTAAGTGCTACGTTGTTAGTGGTGGTTTTCACTTTGTCCTTATCACCCTGCCAGGTCAGCCTGAATAGTCCCACTTGACAGGTGAGAACACAGGCTTGAGAACAGTGCCTTGCCCAAGAACCCATGGAAAGCAGCAGGGTGAAAACTCAAATCTTGAGCAACCTGAACCCAGTGCTGTTCTAGACTAGAAATGGAAGACCCCCATCAGCTCTTGAGTAGTAGAAATTTGGGAACTTCTGGGTTTCTTCTTTATTATGTCCCATCCAAGTTTTTTACAAAGAGCAAGTGGAACTTTTTTATCAGAAAAAGACGTAAAATGCTACTTGGATGAAAGCACAGTTTACCTTTGTGCTTATTTAAGCGTCTTAAGTGGAACAGAGAGGGGCGGCGAAGACGGCATTCACACGGTAAAGGGTCCATTGGGCTGCCCCCTCGAGCACATGCCCACCTTGAGGTCCCGATGGACGATGCCCAAGTCGTGTAGATACTTGACGGCATCCAGCACCTGGAAGATGAGGCGGCTGGCGTCCCGCTCTGTGTAGAAGCCTTTCTCCACGATGCGATCAAACAACTCCCCGCCTGACACCCTATAGCCAGAGATCAGGCAGCCTGACCAGAGGATGGGGTGGGAGGGGAGAGAGGGCAGTAGGTGGAGGTATGAGGACAGGGCAGAGGCAGGGCCACTCACAGCTGCATGATGAGGTACAGGTGGCCCCTACTCTCATAGATGTCATCCAGGGCTACGATGTTGGGGTGCTTGATCCTGGAAGCAGAAGTGAAGTGGTTCAGAGCTGAGTACCTCAGCTGTGCCCCCATATCACCTCTTCCCCCTGCAGACCTGACGATCCGGATCCCAAAGGGGAAAGTGGGTTTGCCACAATAGTGGGCTCTGGGTTCAAATCCTTCCTCAAGCTGATCAGTGGACACTTTTTTGTGTACGGTTTTGTGAAACTTGGTCTTACATATGTTGGGCATGTTGTAAAGAGAAGCTAATCTTTGGCAAAGGACATCATGCCTGGAAAGGTAGAGGGTCAGAGTGAGAGAGAAGACGACCCTCAAGGTGGACTGAGACAGTGACTGTTAACAGTGAGCTCTGGTTTATCAGAGGCCGTGAGGATGGTACAGGAAGGGGCAAGGTTCAGATCTGTTCAGAGGGTGGCTGAGTCACAACTCGATAGCACCTGACAAGAAAAACAGTTTCCTCAGCCTCCCTGACAGGTCCGCGCAAGCCCAGGAACTCTTGACTTGCTCTTCATTGTTCCCTCAGTGGCTGGTGCCAGTAATACTTGTTGCACCTCAGTTTCTTCATCTATAAAATGAAGTCTGTGATAGGTTTCTCAGAGAGTTGGGGTGAGGACCACCTAAGTCCATGTAGGTCAACCCCCAGCACAAGGCTTGGCTCCTACCAAATGCTCAGTGATTCCAGGGGCTGATCCTGAGGAGGAGGAAGGCAAACTTGCCTTGGGACTTTGGGCAGGTCCCTCAGCCTCTCTTGGCCTCTTTCCTCCCCTAGAAAACAGCATTTATTCCTGTTCAGTACTGTGTAGGGTGGTTGGAAGGCTTCAGAGAGACTAGAAGTGACGATTTTCCAGTTTCCCAGTGAGGACCAGGGGTCTGTATCAGCATGAGCATTTCAAAACACACCAGTTGATGGTTGATTGTCTTAAGTCAGCAGCCAAGCACTTTCTTCCCCCACTTCCTGAGTGGCTTTACTGTGTGAAGGGGACTAGATATCGTGACAACACTATTTACAATATGTGGTTCAGTTATGTTCCAGGATTGACCTTTAAACCTGATAGGAAGATTAAACCACTGTAAACAAGCATCTATACCACAGTCATGTTGGCTCTTGTGCCAGGTACCTGGAATAAAAGCCGTCTAATAGTCCCCACACCCGTCAAGTGCCTATTACCCCCATTTGATAATTAATTAGAGGCCCAGAGAGAATAAATGAGTCTCCTGAAGCAGAGAGGAGAGAAGGAGGGCAGGGGTCAGACTGTGGCTTACTCACTTGTGCAGGACAGCAATCTCATTCTCCATGTTGCCCTCCTTGCCCTCCAGGGCCTTCTTGGTGATGCATTTGATGGCCACCAACTTCTGAGTCCTCTTATCTTCTGCCAGGATAACCTCTGAGAAGGCCCCCCTGCAGGGAGAGGAATCCCTCCTGAGGTCAGAAAGTGGAATTCTAGCTTCCCTCCAGCCCATCGTCCTCTATTCTCTGAGTCAGATGACTACTTCTGGACTGTTGGGATGGGATGATGAGTCTCTTTCAGTCACTCCTAGCTTTAAGACTGGTCACATGACCTAGGTCTGGTCACAGTAAGTCATGTGATATACCAGGTTACTTGTACGTGAGAATGAGGTGGTTTTCTGGGTTTATTTCCATGCGATAAAACTTGAAACTGATTTGTCACCGCTTCAGAGATGCCTGCTTGAATATGAAATCAATAAAAAGGAAATGAAGGCTTTCTAATGGTTTACTTCCTTAAAACATGTATGTTTATCTCTGGTTGCAGCCATACCTGAACTTTTTCATTCATTAATTCATTCCTTTTTTAATTCATTGCCCAATTAATTCATTCCTCTTTTTGCTGTACCCGATTTGAGTCTGGCTGATTTAACATCCTTTAGAACCTTGAAAAACCATCAGCATCATCTGGGAGCTATTTTTTTTTTAAAGTACAAAATCTCATGTCTCACCTTAGACTGATTAAATCAGAATCTGCATTTTAACAAGACCATCTTTTGATTCACATGCACGTTAAGGTTTGAGGAGCAATGTTTCAGAAAAAATTAGCTCATTTATGCTAGTCCACTGAGTAAAGGTGTGTTGGGGGTTATTACGGCATTCTTTCTACAGCAGTTTTCCTTGGGAGAATAAGAAATCATAAGTCAACGAAAATTATCTCTAATGGTGAAATTTCGACCATCAGGAGTAACAATAGTACTTCTGATTCTGTAGTAGCCTAGGCTCTAGTCTTATCCCTTCCCATTTTATCCTCCAGTCTCTGGCCAGTGTGACCTGATTGTCCTGAATTGCAAACCTGCCAGAAAGTCTTCAGTATCCTCCTATAGTCAGTGGGATAAAGTCCAGTCTCGAGCTCTGGTTTGCCGAGCTCTACATGACACCTTCCTTCCTTTCTCTTAGTCTCTGTTCACCCTCCCCTAAGCCTCTTATTTTAGGAATCTCCACAAAGTTCCTCCCCTCTTTCCACACATACATTGCCTCTAATGTTATTCCTTCTTCCTGGAACACCTTCTCTCTTCCCTGATAAGTGAGAAGTCCCCATCAACAGTGACCCTCCCCCAGGTAGAAGGAACAGCCCTCTGGACTGTAGAAAACCCTAACAGGACACCGATCATATCTGTCTCCCCCATGCATGTGTCTGGGATCCACTGGAGGTGCAGAGAGCTAGGATCTATTTCTAGATTCCCAGCACTGGGAACAGAGCCCTGCTCAGCCTCCTGCCCCAAGCCTAAGCCAGCACCTTAGGAAGCTCCAGTGGCTTAGAGTGTAAAGAATTGAACTACCAATCCAAAGGCAGGTGGTTCAAATCCACCAGCTACTCCATGGCAGAAAGATGGGCAATCTGCTTTGCAATCTACAGCCTCTGAAAACCGGCTGGAGGGTCAGTTATGAGTTTATTCCAATTCGAGGGTGCATAACAGACCAGGTGCCCCAGATGCTGGCAGCAAGCTGGCTAATTCTTCCTCGTCCCCTTCTCTACATGCAGAGCCCAGGGCTGCAGCAAGCCCTGTCCAACCACTTGACAGAAATGAAAAGCCAAGGGCCACAGTGAGGCTGCCACATGGGCCAGAGCTTTAGGAAACAGGAAACTGACCAATAGACCAAAGAAAGCATCACCCTGGGCCAGCCACCCTAGCTGTCCACACCCAGCTGGCACCAGGCCAGCTCAGAAGAGGCCCCTACCCTAGTCATAAGACTCAAGGAGTTACTCACGTGCCCAGAACATCCCGGAAGTCGTAAATGTCCCTAATGTCCTCTGCTTGCTTCCAAGCGGGGGCTTCCACTGCCCCCGGCATGGCCCACTGCTCACTGGCCACAGCCAGGGCTCCTGGGAAAGAGAATGAAGGGAGGGGGCTGAGCTGGGCCCAGCTGTTTCTCTGGAAACTTACTGTTGGCTCCATTCAGCCTTTCAATATTCATTTACCCATTCCTTTATTCACACAAGTCACTTAATGTACATTCGTGTGTACATCATTCCTTTGTTCATTAAACATCATTTATGGTGGACGCAAAAGCCTTCATTCATCTAAGGCAAGAATTCATTTCTTCAGTTCCTCTTCCAGATTCTTCCTTTACAAATATAAACGCCCAAGGAGGGGCCTGATTTCAGGAAGGATGTTGAAACTCGGCAGGAGCGTGTAGAAGTGCACCCCAAAGGATGCTGCTCCCCACAGCCAGCAATGCCCAGCCCCACCCTGGGAATTGCTGAGGTGTCTCCTCTCCCTCCTTATTCCCACCCTAGCCTCTCGGAAGTCAGGTTTCCGGCAGCCTGGGCTTCCAACAATATCTCAGCCACATTTTAAAATAGCTGCTTCTGCTCTGTTACCACAGCAACAGCAGCCACAGCTGGCACTCCCCAGGCCTCCACCCCCCTCTTTCATGACTCCCCATCTGGGGCCAGGCAGATGAGACATGGTCCCACTCATGTGCCCTCCTGGCCTGCTCTCACCCCAACCCAGCCTGGACCTTCCCCTACCAGGCCTCTGTCTCCTCCAGCAGGATAGCATGGGTACTGTCTGTTTACTTCTCAGAAAAATAGGGAAACAGGTTGGAGATGGGCAAGGGCTGGGCTAGAGTTCCCCAAATGACACAGCTAGGGCACAGAGGACAAAGGTCATGAAAGGAGCTTCTCTTGGCTGGAATGTGCAGCCGATGTTGAGCCTATTAGAATACAGCTTCTCAGCCTTGCTCTAGGCCCACAGCATGAATGTTGTCCATTGCTGTTTCCTCCAAAGGAGAAATAGGGGAAGGCACACTGACTAGAGTCCCTGGTGTGAAATCCCACTCCTGGAATGAGACTCTGTTGCCAGGCGGCCTTGGCCACCAAGCCCAGGAGCAGAAACTTCTAGGAAAAGACTTTAAGTGAACTGGAGGTGCAGCCTTCAATTCTCCTGAAGGCCTGGCAAGTAAGCCTCTCACAGTGCCACATGTATCCCTATACCCAGCCCGCATCCCCAAGGCCACCCACACCTCAGAAACCAGACACTGGTCCCAAACACCCACCCACACCACCAGCACATTCACACTCCTCACACACAGCCCCCCAACACCTAATCATGAGTGTACTCAGACAGCTGCACAATCTCTACATACACATGCACACACATACACCAAACACCTGACACCTAATCATGAGTCTAATCAGCACAATCTCCACAGAAACTCACGGCCACACACATACACGGCACTTACATACACACACTCCCCACACACTTCCACTGATGCACACCATACACAACCACACCACACAGATACCCCACATAATCACAAACACACAAATACATACACACGCCCCACACACATACACACATTCCCCACATAACTCCCACATATACACCATACAGAATCCCACCACACACACTCCCACATACACACACCGACACACACATATCACCTAGAAACACACCATGCACCTTGGAGCACCCCACATACACCTACAGTCACACGCCGCACATGCACTTCCTTACACACGCACATACACCCGTACACATACAGCCCACACGCACACCACACACATGCGTGCGCACACCCCTCCAGCCCGCCCCTGGCACCCACCCGATTTCCCACGCCTGCCCACCACCTGCTGGGCCTGGGACGGGGTGGAGGAGGGGGAGAGGCCTGCGTGCCCCTCCAGGGTCCAGCCTGCCCGGGCGCCCCCATGAGCCCGGGGCGGACTGTCTGTGGGAATGGGTCCCGCCGGGCGCGCAGGGGCTTCCCGGTGCGTGCTGTACCTGCGGCTGCCCCGCCGTGGGGGGCGGGGGGGCTGGCGGGGAGGCTGGCGCCGAGGTCTGGCCGCGTCCGAGCTCGCCTGGCCGCCCCGCCCGAGAGCCCGCAGCTCTGATGTCAGTGTGGGAGGAGCCTGTGGCGCAGGCCCGCGAGGAGGGGCCCTTCCCGCTGGAGGGGGCGTACATCGAGGGGTCCCTAGGTCTGCGGACCGCGGACCGCTGGGGAGGAGGCTGTTCCGTGTGTGTGTGTGTGTGTGTGTGTGTGTGTGTGTGTGTGTGTGTGTGTGTGTGTGTTGTGTGTGTGTGTGTGTGGTGGGGTCTGCGGGCGGATGGGCGGGGAGGAGGCTCAGGGGAGTGACCCCTAGTCCTGCAGCCCGGGACCCCGAGAAGGAACCACTCCTTCTAAGGAGGCGGGACTGGAGGAACCAAGGTCTTCTGCCCAAGGAGGAGTTCTGCTAGTGGGGGGACAGCCAGAAGACCCCTAGATGTGAGTCCTGGGGACCATCGGGAAGAAGGCCGTTCTCTCTAGGGAGATATGCACGGAGACACCTAGATCTTGGCTCTACCTTGGCTGGACGCTTCCTTCATTTTCCCTCAGGGCCTCATTCCAAGAGAGACGACTGAAGCCCAGGTTCCAAGTCTGCAGCTGGTCTGTGACAGAGTAGGATCCAAACCCCACTCTGATGCCAAAAGCTGGATAATTTCACTATGTCTCATGGATTTTTTTTTTCCAGGCCAGTTCTGGGAGTTCCCTTAAGACCCTCTGGCATCTGTTTCCCCTTCTTCCAGTGTCCAAAAGAGATTGAGACCCACAGAAGGTCCAGGAGTCAGGGCAGGAGGCGTTAGGGTTAGGGAAGAGTCAGAAAAAAAAAATAGACCTGAGAACCCTCACTGAGGCTCTGAGCAAAGTAGTACCCAGAAATTCCGGGGAGGGGCTGGAGTAAACCGCGGGCAAGCTGGCCAGAGAACCAGAGTGTCACGTGAGTGGGCATTTGCCCACGCTAAAGTTCAGGTTGGGAAAGGGCCGAGGCTGGGAAGCTGCCAATCTGGCTCCTGGGGTGGCAGGCAGGAGGCCAAGAGACTTGACCCAGGTCAGCTTGTGCAAAGCCTTTCCTGGGAAGAAATCTGGAAAGAGAATGTAAAACATGGCTAATTGCTTCCATGAATAAATGATGCTTCCCCATAAGACCAGAAGAACTGGATGGTGCCCCACTACAGTTATGGAACAAAGATTTTACAGAAGCAGCTGAAATGGAGAAACCAAATTTTACATTCTCTCTGCTCTTGAGTATGTCTAAGGGCACCTGTGCTTTCTTTTGAGATAAGCACACACACCCCCCTTCTATAAGAAAATTAATAGACAAACTAATTTTTTATGTTAATGCATCAACTTGACATGACATAGTAACAACAGTTAAACAGAAGAACCAAGGAGCTCTAGAGGTGTAGTGCTGGGGACTTGCTCTGGTAACTCAAAGGTGGTATCTGTCTGGCAGTTTGAATCCACTATCCATTCCAAGGGAGCAAGAAGGGCAGTCTCCTCCTGTGTGATTCTCATCCTCTGAAAACTCAACGGATGGGCAGCTATGAGGCTATTCCAACTCAACAGCAATGAATTTTGAGTTTTTATTAAACACAATCTTTGGAAAATGCCAAGTAGGTACACCCCCCCACACACACACCCTCCACACATTCCACGCTTGTCATTACCAGGTAAGGATCTCAGGCCTCAGACATGATTTTTACAGGCCTCATGGGATTTGTAGAGGACTCCGGGGATTTGTTTTTTTCCCCTCATCTCTCCTTGCCTCTATTTCTCTTTCACACATCGGCCTCCTTTTTCTTTGCAAAGTGATCTTCTCCAGTTGGCAAGAAGAAACATGGCCCCAACTTGCTAACTAAACCCTGCAGAAAGAGAGCTACACCCTGTTTTCTTCAGGCAGCCTCAGGGAAGGCCTCTGATTAGCTGGCTTGACTCACATGGCTTCCCCTTTGCCCCTGTAACTGTTGCCAAGAGGATAAGTTACTGTGATGGGCAGTCACACAAAGTCACAAGGCATGACAGAGGACAGCCCACCGGAACAAAACAGGAATGCTACACAGATAAGGAATACCAACCAGAGATACCCAGTGTTACTATTTTGCTACAAATTCTTCTAGTCTTTTTTGATACATAGACATAAAGACACTTCCCCTTACAGTCTCCACCCACAATGAGCATAGTTCACTGTACAAATAAAAAGTAAATAAGGAAAAGTAATATACTTAATACATACAAAGGGAATGTCACACATACATACACACAAACCCTTCCCCACACACACTTATCCCTTGTTACTAAAGAAAGCAAAAAGCTCAGACATATCTATACATTCTTACATGTTATGGGAATGAAGGGTTTTCTGAAATTGGAGAAAATAGAAATCATAAAGGAAAGATGGACAAGATTTGGACAAAGCATTTAAAAAAAAACTTCCACCTTTACCTTGTGCTGTTAAAGAGAAATAAACTTTTTGTGGATTAAATCATATTCTGTGCCCCCCTCAAATAAGCGCTCTAAATCTTAACCCCTATCATTGTGGATGTAATTCTGTTTGGGAATTGTTGGTAGGTGCCACTGAGTTGAGTACAACTCATAGCAACCCTATGAACAAGGGATCTGAATGTTGCTCCATCTGTGCCATCCTCATCATCTGACACATTTGAGCCCATTTCTGTAGTCACTATGTGAACACATTTCATTGAAAGTCGTCTTCTCTTTCACTGACTCTCTACCTTTCAAAGCATGATGTCACTCTCCAAGGAATAGCCTCTCCTAGCAATATGTCCAAAGAAGCTTCAGCATCTGGCCTCTAAGGAGCACTCTGGCTGCATTTTCTCTAAGACAAATCTGTTCTTTGGCAGTTCATGGGATACTCTGGACTTGTCTCCAACATCAGAACTCAAAGGCATCAATTGATTCTTCTGTCATCCTTATTCATTGTCTAGCTCTTAGATATATAGCAAGTGATTGAAAAGACCATGACTTTAATAAGGTGCACATTAGTCTTTAAATTGACATCATTGTTCCTTAACACCTTGGAGAGGTCCTTGACAG